GTCGACAGTTGGGTTCTGAACAGGTATGATTGACATCCATTAAATTTGGATGAATCTCTATTGGTTGAGGAGGACGGTGCTAGGAGGAGATTAGACAAGTAACTACTAGTGTTTAAGAGAGGATTTTATCAGATTTGAGGCATGGGTGACGATCGGGTTCTTCGAGGGAGAGAGGGTGTCGATAAGGATTAATGAAGGGATCTGATTTTGTGAGAGAGTGAGATTTTTGTGGGATTTAATTTATGAGTGGGAGATCAAGAGGTGTAGATTTGAAAGGTGAAGAGTTTTAATGGGATTGGGTTTATGGGGTAGAGGTTTAAGGGGTGGAGGTTTCAATCCAATCTGATCTCTTCCTTTTTCATCTCAAAAATATATAAACGTTAGATGTATCATTTATAAAAATATAATCACATAAATATAATCACACACAAATTACATATAATCATACACAAATATTTCGGGTAACTCACACAAAATTTTGAAACATATATGAATATTAAAAGAAATTAAATCACATCCATATATAAACAAACATACATACGGTAAACTCCTAATCACAATAGACATAGATTTAGAAAATTAGACAAATTTAAATTAGACACCAAAATTAAACATACATATATACGGTAGTTTCTAAAACACAAATAATCAAATAATCAAATATTTAGAAACTAGTCAATTATTTTAGATACCAATTAACATAAACTAATTAAAAACATTTAGTAATTAAATCATAACATCACAAATAGGCACGGCATTTTTAACATAAACAAATAAATCATAAAACACGTATTATGCCATGACTACAATTAAAAACACATAGATATGCGATTAAAACAAATAAACACAAATTTTCGAAAAATGAATTGCATGGCACATATTTTCACGTTAAATTTTACATGCAATTTTATAAGTAGATACTAAACACATTGAACTAAATTATTCATGCAACTTTCGAATAAATATATAAACGTATATATTAAAAAAAAATTATATGAGCACAAGTATCAATTTAAATCATGAGATTAAGTCCAATGATACTTAGCTCATTTCAAGCATTCCCAACTCATGCCTTAAAGTAGAAAATCTCGTTTCGCATAAAGGCTTCGTGAGAATATCTGCAACTTGGTTCTCCGTAGGGATATACTCGATTTTTAGATCTTTCTTTTCAACATGATCCCTTATGAAATGATGTCGTATGTCGATATGTTTGGTTCTTGAATGAAGCACTGGATTGTGGGTGATAGCGATTGCACTTGTATTGTCACAAAATATGCTAACATCGTCGCAATTCACTCCATAATCCTTCAATTGTTGCTTCATCCACAAAATTTGAGCACAACAACTTCCTGCAGCAATGTATTCGGCCTCGGCGGTACTAGTTGCGATGGAATTTTGCTTTTTGCTAAACCAAGAAACAAGCCTTCCTCCCAAGAATTGACACGTTCCGGAGGTGCTTTTTCTGTCTATTTTACAACCTGCAAAATCCGCATCTGAAAAACCAGTTAGCGTAAAATCTGTACCTTTAGGATACCACAATCCAACATTGATTGTTCCCTTCAAGTATTTTATGATTTTCTTTGTTGCGGTGAGGTGGTTTTCTTTTGGATTTGCTTGGAATCTTGCACACACTCCCACAGCATAAGAAATGTCCGGCCTGCTTGCAGTGAGGTATAGTAGTGAACCAATCATTCCTCTATACTTCGTTTGTTCGACATCTTTTCCATCTTCGTCTTTGTCTAGCCTTATTGATGTACTCATAGGAATTTTGATCGATGATTTTCAATCAAGGCAAAACTTCTTTATCAAGTCGCGGGTGTACTTTGCTTGATTGATGAATATTCCTTCCTTCAATTGTTTGACTTGTAAGCCCAAGAAATAATTCAATTCACCCATCATGCTCATTTCAAATTTATTCTGCATAAGCTTCGAAAATTTCTCACACAAAGAATTGTTAGTGCTTCCAAAAATAATGTCATCAACATATATTTGCACTAATAAAATATGATCACCATCTTGAATTCTAAAGAGAGTTTTGTCAACAAGGCCTTTGGTGAATCCACAGCTTATCAAGAACATTGACAAGGTATCATACCAAGCTCTAGGTGCTTGTTTCAACCCATACAATGCCTTTTTAAGTTTGTAGACTTTATCACCTTCGCCTTTTACCTCAAAACCTGGGGGTTGTTCGACATAAACTTCTTCTTCGAGTAGTCCATTCAAGAATGCGCTTTTCACGTCCATTTGATAAACGGTGAAATCTTTGTGTGCGGCATAGGCTAGGAAAATCCTTATAGCTTCGAGTCTGGCTACCGGTGCAAAGGTTTCATCAAAATCTATTCCTTCTTCTTGAGAGTATCCTTTTGCAACGAGCCTAGCTTTATTCCTAACAATCACGCGTTCTTCGTTTGCTTTGTTCCGGAAGACCCATTTAGTTCCTACAACATTGTGGTTCATTGGTCTTGGAACAAGTTCCCAAACGTCATTTCTTTTGAATTGATCGAGTTCCTCTTGCATGGCGTCAATCCAACTTGGATCATTTAGAGCTTCGTCCACTTCTTTTGGTTCAATCTGAGATAGATAACATGTGAACAATGCTTCCATGGTAGATGATCTTGTTTTCACGCCATCTCGAACATTTCCGATCACTAATTCTGGTGGGTGATTTTTGAGCCATCTTAAGTCTGGTTCAAAAGGGTGCATGGTACTGGGTGGATTTACTGGCTGAGAAGAGGTAGTACTGGTTCGAATTTCTGCTTCATTTTCTAGATTTCCAACTTCTCCAGTAATTACATCCAAGGGCTGATTTGCAATTTCCACTTCAACTGCATCCCTGGGTTGATTAGCAATTTCAATACCAATTGCATCCCTGGGTTGATTTGCAATTTCAATACCAATTGCATCCCGCATTTCATTTCTTACTGGATGAGAGATGGGATTTTCTAGAGAATTAATTTCCAACTCATCCATTCCCTGCAAAATATTTTCTTCACACGTATCATCAGTATCACAAAAATCAATATGACACTTGTTACCATTTTGCTCAATATTTTTGCCATTTTCGTCCAGAGCATCAATATTGACGTGTGATTTTTCATCAAATACCACGTGTATGGATTCTTCAACCACCATTGTTCTTTTGTTCAACACTCTGAATGCTTTGCTGGTAGTCGAATATCCTAGAAAAATTCCTTCATCTGCACGCTCATCAAAAGCTTTTAGATGCAATTTATCATTAATATGAATAAAGCACTTGCATCCAAAAATATGAAAATAACCAATATTTGGTTTTCTCCCTTTATATAGCTCATATGGTGTCTTGCTATACTGCTTATGGATCATGCTTCGATTTTGAGTATAACAGGCAGTGTTGATAGCTTCCGCCCAATATCTTTTCGGGAGACCGGCTGCACTAATCATCACTCGTGCGGCTTCTTTAAGCGTCCGGTTTCTTCTTTCGGCAACACCGTTTTGTTGTGGTGTTCTAGCGGCAGATAATTGATGAGAAATTCCATGTGAATTGCAAAAAGCTTGTATAACTCCATTCACGAACTCGGTTCCACGATCGGTTCGGATTTTTGATGTTTGCAATTTTGTAGTTGCTTCAACAGCTTCGGCAACACTTGTTCAACTTCATTTTTCTTCTTGAGAAACACGGTCCAAGTGTACCTGGAAAAATCATCAACAACAACAGGAGTATATTTCTTACCACTTACACTTATTGGATCAACCGGTCCAAATAAGTCCATGTGTAGCAAGCTTAGCGGTCTTGATGTTGATTCGTGCGTCTTAGACTTGAATGATGATTTGATTTGCTTTCCGTGTTGGCATGCATCACACACTTGGTCCTTCTTGAAGATAATACTTGGTAGTCCTTCAACTAGATTTTTCTTTGCAAGCTGATTGATGGTCTTGAAGTTTAAATGGTTGAGCTTTCTGTGTCATTCCCAATTTGCTTCATTCGAATTTCTAGCCATTAAGCATACTGAATCTTTGCTTGTGCTCCAATCAACAACATACATGTTCTTTCGCCTTTTTCCAGTGAGCACAACTTCATTTGAGAGCTCATTTTTGATTTGGCAATTATCTTTGGAAAATTCCACAAGATAGCCTTTATCACAAAATTGACTAGTGCTCAACAAATTGAATTTTAGGCCTTCAACAAATGAAACATCTTCGATCTTCAAACCATTTCTTTCAATTGTACCAACTCCTTTTGTAGTTCCATAATTTTGATTTCCTCCAAATATAACTTTTGGTCCATCGATTTTCTTGAAATTCACTAGACAATATTTATAGCAAAGGATTTGGCAACGAATAAAACAACTCAACATGCGGAGTAGCAACAATAGGCATTGTCTCGGCTAAGCTCGGTACGGCAGTGTTGACATTGGTGTAGCAAATTAATAATGGTGTGGCATTTCTTCGGTTGTTGTTGTCAACTATGTCACATCTTGTTGGCAATGTGTTAGATTCATCCAAATTCAAGGACATTTGATTGCTAGGTATGCTCATATCTTCTTGAATGGATCCCGTAATCTCCGTAGCGGGATGAGGAAAACAAGAATAAAAACTCAAATTCTCATCACCAAAGGTAGCTGGGTACGGCTCCAACTCTGCCAAGCATGCATCATCTTCCCTTAAAATTGATATTTCACCGGGAGCTCTTCGGGTCTCATTCAAAGAATTGAGAGTGGCTCGGTGAACTTCATTTGGATCAAAATCTCCATGGGGTGCAACTGGTGCGGCCTCAGCAAGAACACTCTTTTCTGTCCTTCTTTTCTGCGCAACCTTAGTCAAAAAACAACTGTTAATAACAGATAATCTCGTGGCCTGCGCAAGGTCACGAGTTCCTAACCAACTTAGGACAAGCTCCTCCCTATGTAATGTGTTTGGCCCAATGGTATCGACCAATTTCTTGTGGTCAGACAATCCCCAAAGTCTCCAAGATTTTGCACGTTCGAATTCCTCAAGCAACGTACTATCCGCACCAATAGTGGGTACATCATCCACACTTCCAACCTCCACTCTATCAACCGACAAGGGTGGATCATTTGGGTATAAGGAATTTATGATGGGTGCGTGTAAGTTGGTTAAAGGGTGGCTAGATGCATCTTCATTTGATATTATGGCAGGGGTGTTAGATCCCTCATTACTCGCATCGCGAATAATGGGTCTAATAGCTAAGGTAGGGTTTGGAGGGTTGAGGTTTTTTCTTTTTCTGGAGGGTTTTGGTACGGTGGGGGCTTTGGGTTCGGATGAATTAGGCCTAAAAAGGTAGTTGTGGTTTTGGATTAGTTTGGCTTTGGATAAGGGTACATTTTTTTTTCTTAGAATCTCACCCACAGCAAAACCATAACCAATCTCCTGTTGAAACCATCCCTCCAACAAAAGGTTTGGCTTTCACAATATAATCACACAACTTCTCAAATAGAAACAATCCCCAATCAACACAAACATTGTTCGTAATCACACACATAATCATAAGCTTCTCCTTAGACAACTTATCACGGCAATTATATTTGGACTCAACACACTTGTGAATAATGTCCAACAAGAGTCCATATTCCCTTTTTAGATCAATCTTTTTGCCGTTTAACTTCGGAGTTAGCGGTGCGTCGGCACCGCGTACCTCGGCCCATATGGCATTCAAGTCAAAATCGTGAGTCTCAACTCTTAAGTTCGACTCTACGAGATTGAACACTCTCCGAAAATCATCAACATTAATTTCCACTTCTACACCTTTCACACTAGACTTGATCGAATTGTTCTCAATAGTTCCATGCAAATACAATTCGGTCACTTCATCCTTATAGAATCCAATATATCTAAAGGTGCAAAAATTTAACAACCCACAATTTTCTAGAGAGTTGATAATTTTTACCCGTAAATTTTTGTCTTGGACTTGATTGGAGAAGTTGGTGGTGTCGAGGATCATCCCACTTAGAACTCGGCTTGACCTCCTTGTTCCTCCGGCGGTGATTGTCTCAGTCTCCATTTGACCTAGATCAACCTCCATTGGCTTGAACTTGATTTGAGTGAAAATGGTGAGAATGATTTGGTTTTTGGCAGTGAAGGTCCGAAAAGTTGAGGGGTTTGGGTTTTGGGTTTTAGATGGTTTTTGGGTGTGATTGTAGTGTTGGGTAATGGGTATTTATGGGTAGAAATGTTTTGAGTAGAAGATTTAGGATGGGTGCAGAAGCATTTGAAGTATATTTGAATTCTACCTCCTTCTTGAAGTCGACCTGCGAAAATGGAGAAGAAGAAATGAGTTCAATCTTACAACTTTTTAGGTTTTCTTCTCCTACCCGTTAGAAATGGGGATAAAGCCTTGTGAATTTACAACCTTGCCCCTTAGTGGATGGAAAGAGACTATTGATCTCTTTGAGGATAAATTCGACCTTCTACACGATTTAAATCTGCCAACTCAGATTTAAATACTCCATTTGTAGGTACATGGCGCCAAAAATTGTGCTTCAAATAACCGCCAACCTGGAGAAATTCAAGAGAAAAAAAAATCTGGAAAATAATTTGTTAGTGTAATAAATATATTCCAGCTAAATATTATCACCTCGATTTCAGTTTTCAATAAAGCTGATAATTCCTCTGAATGTCATATATATGTCTAACAAACTGAAAAAGGGTCATTCTAATTTCCAAAAGAATTAAAATGAATTTGACTTTCTACATAATTGAACCTAACATTTCTCTTTGACTTTTGAGGGTTCAATCTTATGAAAAAGGTTTGGACAAATTTACAAGTAGAAAATTCATTAGAAAGTTCCCCCTAAATTATATGCTCATCTAAACATTAACCCAACCAAAATAAATTCCCCCTAAATTGCATACACTTAAAGACATAAAGCTTAATTAAATCATTCTCATTAATGCACACTTAGAGATAAAATAGCAATTAAATCATGCAAATTAATTATGCAAAATTCGTGACAATTAAGCAGGCATGTCCAACACAAATTTAAGACACATAAACACATGCTTTATGAAAACATGTACGCAAACTTTTTCATGCAATTAACCACATAACACACGTACACAAATTTCGTAAGACACAATTAACATAACTTGCATAGAATATAAGCATCTTAAAATTACTAAATCACTAAGATCACATAAGTAACACATTTCACATAAAGTACGTACACATTTCAAAAATTAAAAGTTTCGAAATACTTAGCTCATTTCGATCATTCACATTTCATTCTTTAGAGTTGCAAAGCGAGATTCACACAATGGTTTTGTGAGAATGTCGGCAATTTGATTTTTCGTGGGAACATGATCGATTTTTAAATCCTTCTTTTCGATGTGGTCTCGGATAAAATGGTGTCGATTATGATCGCACTAGTATTATCACATAAAATGCTAACAATTTTGCACTTAATCCCGTAGTCCAATAATTGTTGCTTCATCCACAAGATTTGTGCGCAACAACTCCCAGTTGCAATGTATTCGGCTTCGGCAGTGCTCGTTGTTATGGAGTTTTGCTTTTTGCTGAACCAAGAGACCAATCTTCCCCCTAAGAACTGGCATGTCCCTGATGTACTTTTTTGGTCTATTTTACAACCTGCAAAATCTGCATCTGAATAACTGGTTAGTGTAAAATTTCCTTATTTGGGATACCATAATCCCACATTGATTGTTCCTTTGAGATATCAAATTATCTTCTTGGTTGCGATCAGATGACTTTCTTTGGGCTTTGATTGGAATCTTGCACATATCCCAACTGAGTAGGATATGTCTGGTCTGCTTGCGATTAAGTATAGTAATGATCCAATCATCCCTCGATATATCGTTTGGTCGACATCTTTTCCTTCATCATCTTTATCCAATTTTTTAGATGTACTCATGGGAATTTTGACTGAAGATTTTCCATCTAAGTCAAATTTCTTGATAAGATCTCGTGTACTTGGCTTATTTATGAAAATTCCTTCATCAAGTTGCTTGATTGTAACCCCAAAAAGTAATTTAATTCTCACATCATACTCATCTCGAACCTGTTCTGCATGAGCTTAGAAACTTTCTCACATAAAGATTTATTAGTACTTCCAAAGATAATATCATCAACATAAATTTGTACTAATAAAATGTGATTATTTTCTTGAATACGAAAGAGGGTTTTATCGACTAGACCTTTGGTGAATCCACAACTATTTAAGAACATTGACAAGATTTCGTACCAAGCTCGCGGAGATTGTTTTAACCCATACAATGCCTTCTTTAATTTGTAGACTTGATCACCGAGGCCTTTTACCTCAAAGCCGGGCGGTTGTTCGACGTAAACTTCTTCTTCAAGTAAGCCATTGAGAAACGCACTCTTTACGTCCATTTGATATACAATGAAATTCTTGTAGGCTGCATATGCTAGGAATATTCGAATTGCTTCGAGTCGTGCGACGGGGGCGAATGTCTCATCAAAATCTATGTTTTTTTCTTGAGAATATCCCTTCGCGACTAATCTTGCTTTATTCCTAACAATGATGCCATCTTCGTTTGCTTTGTTCCTAAAGACCCATTTAGTGCCAATTACATTTTGGTGCGTTGGTCTCGGAACAAGTTCCCATACGTCATTGCGTTTGAATTGATCTAATTCATCTTGCATTGCATCTATCTAACTTGGATCGGCTAAAGCTTCGTCAATTTCTTTTGGTTCCAATTGCGATAGAAAACAAGAGAACATTGCATCCCATGTAGATGATCGTGTTCTAACTCCGTCTCTCGGATCTCCAATGACTAACTCATGTTGGTGATTTCCTAGCCACTTTCGATTTGGTTGAAAATTCGTTGGATTCTCAGAGTTTCTTTCTTATTGAAATACCACTTGTTGTGAATTGTTGATGGGTACATCTTTGGGTATTTCGACTTGAATTTCTTCCGTCGGTATTCCGGGTACAATTTCGATTGTGGATGTGGGTGATACTTCGGGTGTCACATTGGATATTGTCTTAATTTGCTGAGTACCCATATCACTTGATTCTTCCACCTCCTGCAACACATTATCTTCGAAAATATCGTTAGAATTTAAATCACGATTACCTCCATTATCTTGGCCATTTTTGTCGTGTTTTTCGTCGAACACAACATGAATTGACTCTTCTACCACCATGGTTGATTTGTTGAATATTCTGTACGCCTTGCTAGAAGATGAATATCCCAAGAATGTTCCTTCGTCTGCTCGCTCGTCAAAAGTCTTTAAATGAGACTTTCCATTAACAAGTACAAAACATTTACAACCAAATGTATGAAAATAGGTGAGATTGGGTTTTCTCCCTTTCCATAACTCATATGGTGTTTTGTTATAGGACTTGTGGATTAGACTACAATTTTGAGTGTAGCACGCCGTATTGATTGCTTCTGCCCAAAATCTTTTTGGTAGTCCGGCGGTTGATATCATGACTCGTGCGGCTTCCTTGAGTGTTCTTTTAAGACCCCTGAATTTTGAAATAATTAAAACTTATAAAATAAAGGCAAATCCATTGATCAAATCCCAAACAGGGCATAGAGCTAACCATAAGTGTAGGGGTGCTATGCCACACCTAGGTTTGAGAACCTAGGTGCACAGGCTGAGTTAACTAAACATCATAAAATCTTAATTCAATACTCAAATACAATCCCAAGGAACGCAAGCCAACTATTGAGCTAAGGATAATTAATCTAAGTCCAGGGCTCTGACTAGCGCGCTCCGAAGCTAATGCTCATTACCTGAAAAACATTCGGTGTAACAACCATCAGCGAATAATGCTGGTAACCCACTCCAACGCGTTAAGTACAATATAGGTAGATATAAGAAACTCATTTTGAAAATGGAATACATATATACTTACGAGACTCTAATTTAAATCCAAGATCAAGACTCAAGACACGTTAACAGACTCAACAGTATAAAATAATCATAAATACTAACATGCATCCTAAGAATGCAATACAAGGCATACCAGGCAGATAAGCATATAAAAATAGCAATTAGAGGCAACGAAGGCATTCAAGACAATCAATTAACAAGTAGTCATCAAAGCACACAATTCATCCTCCAACCTTATACCAAGTTCCAACCTTGTAGCTCCCCGGCCTCCGTCCTTATATCAGTTCCAACCTGTTGGTCCCGAAAGGGTGGCGAGAAGTCTAGAGGGGGGGGGGGGGTGAATAGACTTCTCTAACTTTTTCAAACTTCTTCTGCAAACAACACTTTGTAACTTCAACTCTAAGTAACAAGCATAAACAAGTATAACAACTTAGAGTGTGCATAGCAGAAAATGTAACGGCAAAGTGTTGTGCTTTAAATTGTGTCGTGCTCAAGAGAGATTCTATACATGCATCACGTTAGAAACACTTGATATAGATGTAGGATGATGTATATAAAATTTTACTTGCATGCAAACGAGGGAACTATCAAACCCAGACAGATAAAGATACGCAATAAACCGTAACGGGTTAGTTCACAGATAATATAAGCATGCACGAAATATATATGAGCAGTAAGTAAATAGAGAGAGAGATTTATAGTGGTTCAGAGGTGGTGTAATCCTCCTAGTCCACTCTTCTCTTTTCACTTCAAGGAGGAAATTCACTATTCTTCGATCACCCAGATACAATAGTGAATAAGTGCCCAACGACACTTCTCCGAGTGCTTCGCACAAAGCTACACTCCACCAAGGTTTTTCGCAAGCTCCTCTTGTTACTCCGCCTTCCTGAGTACTTCGCACAAAGCTGTACTCCTACACCACGAGAACTACGCACAAAGCTACGCTCTCACCGGGTTTTCACAAGCTCCCCTTGTTACTCTGCCCGTTACAACCGAGTGCTACGCACAAAGCAACACTCCAACTGGGTTTTTCACTCTCTCCAGTTACTCTAACCCTTTTCTACACTCAGTAGAAGATTTACAAAGAAATACAATTTTTCTCTCACTCAGACTTGAATTTAATCGTGTATAGCTCAATATATCACTTGATGATTGATTGGATAATTTTCTTCGTTGTTCAAGTGTATTGTGAATCTCTTCAAGTGTTGTTATGTCTTCAAGTCTGCTTGGGCATTTTATAGCCAAAGAAAGCTATTTGCCCGTTGATCAACTTTCGATCTCGATCGTCCAATTTGAAATGTAGTTGATCAATTAATTTTGCCAACTTGGTCTGCAAAAATTATTTCGCCGTCTGTCAGAAGATTTAAATAAATTTGTCGTTGCTCCTCTTTAATTTGACAAAGCTTTTTCCTTGGCATGGGTAGCCTCCAAATTTGAATTTCTCTGGCATGACTTTTGTTGAATTATTGATCTGATGTGCCAAGTTGATCAAATAATTTATTTGTTGATTCTTGCTTGAGTATTAAAAAGATCTCCTTCGTATATCAGCTTCTTCTTCTTCTTCGACTTCTTCTGCAGAAATAGAGCTTCAAAATAATGTTTCTGTCTAATTCTATCATGATGTCATAGCTCCTTTTGATGAAGTCATGTCCCAATAGTATATCATGTTCCACCTTGTATCATGGACTATATATCATGTTCCACCTTGTATCATGGACCATATATATCATGTTCCATTTCATATCATGAGCTAGCTATCATGTTCCACCTTGTATCATGGACCATATATATCATGTTCCATTTCATATCATGAGCTAGCTATCATGGACCATGTATCACGAATTCATAAAATAGCTTCGAGTGGGAATTGAACTATAAACCATCTACTTTGCTTAGCAAGGCTTCTTCCACCTCAACTGGGTGTCCAATTAATAAAATCCAAAACTTAAATTCTTTTGACTTATCTCTCCCACGTGTTCTCCACTAGCTTTATCACATTGTGATGTCATTACCAGATAGTCGTGACGTCATCATTCGATAATTCTCAACTATTATTACTATCATGATGACATCATCTCCTGATATTGCTACTTCACGATAGCAATTCATCTTTACACCAAAATTACTTCTAATGAGAATTGAACCGTGATCATCTTGCATTAAGCATGCTTCAACAAGTCTTCTACCATCTCGTCCATCTCAAGCTTTAGTAACTTGATGCTTCATAAATGTGTTAAGCTATGATCTCGCTTTCATTTATTCTTCCTCCAAACTGCTTTCACGTAGACTTCATGTAGGCTTCATGGCAGTGGTGCACTATACTTTGTGAACCAGAACTGACTCAAATAAAATAAAATTGGGGTCTACAAAATACATTTGGCTCATCAAAACTTATACAATATATTCCTAACAATTTTCCCCTTTTTGATGATGCCGAAACTTATACCTAAGTCATTTGGCTATGTCAAATTTTTGAAAAATAATCTTTTTGTCCAATTTTATTGCGACTAGCCATTTGACTGGTTTAACACATTTAAGACCTAGAGATTTTAATTTTGGACGGTCCTAAACGTATATTGAGACTATAACGCGGGGTTGCGTATTTATTTTTATCTTTTGATTTTTCTTCCCCCTTTCAATTTTATTTTCTCAATTATACGCCTCACATGCAATTACTAAGTCCAATTTAAAATCTTGAGACTTTAAAGCAATAAACATACTAGTCACAATAAAGAAATAAACCATATGCTAGCAATTTATATTATGTACCAAAAGGCATAATTCGAACAAGCTAGCTATTATGTACACCAAAAAATTGAGGCTTCAAAATTTTACCTGTTGTCAATTAAGGCATTCACGTGTGCCCTTAATTTCTTGAAGTCTTGTTCTCCTCCTTCGAGTTGGTATGGTGCGGTGACTTGCTCGGTAACATAATTTCCATAAGCTTCTTGAATATTGTCACCCCGTAACACTCCGGCTTGGTACCAAGCAACGCATTCTTCAAATGATCTTCCATCCACCATTTCGTTGCTTGTGTGCCCAAAGATTGTCTCCAACTCTCGTATAAGCTTTAATTTGTTTTCTTCATAAATTGATCTTGAAGGTGATGATCTTTGGCATTCTTGTTGGCTAGGAAAGTCCGAGCTTTGAGCGGTCACAAGATAATCCATTATCCTCCTTTTTCCTCGGCCTTGAACTCTCGGTGTGGGTGTGACTCCTCTCGGTGCTCCTGGCGGTCTAACAAGTTCAACTAGTGACCGTTGTGACGACGGTCCAATCAAGTGGTTCACCAAATGGCTTGGGGCACCTCTAGCTCTTTCCCCCTTTTCGGCAGCATCCACATAACTTTGGAAACTCGCCGAAGCTTTGTCTTGGCTTGTTTTGACTCCAATTAATAGATCATTGTTCATGCCAACTTGGTGTAGTAGAGCTTTCAATTGACTCTCCACCAATCGTAGCCTCGATTCACACTCTGTTCCTTTCTTCCCTAAGTCAAGGAACATCTTCAAGACTTCCCTATTACGCTCTTCTTGCTTAGTAGACATTGTGGCCATATCACCTTGGATTGATCCTTGTCCAAGTAACAAGGATTCGGCCCTTTCATAAGCTTGCTTGTGAAAATCATCTAATTTGGTATCAACATTACCAAATTGATTTTGGACTTTCTCAAACTCTTGAAAGACATCTCCTCTCAATTTTTGAATTTCTTTTCGTACATCCCCAATAATATTTTCTTTCAAAGCATTAATATCAATGGGAGTAGAATGTACCTCCTTGTGTGGTTCCTTTCGTGGTTGTCTCGGCATGGATGATTCCGGTGGTTCCACATAAGGTGTATTGTCAAGACACAAGGGCTCATCAAGTGTAGGAATGAGTGGTTCGGCAGTGGCAATTGGTTCGGCACGGCTTAGTGACACTTCAATTTGTAGTACATTTTCTTGTTCCTTCATTCGGTTTTCATCACCAACATTTGCTTCCAAATTTTCATTCACCGAATTCGTCACATCCATAGCTGTGTGGGGTGAAATAGCATCAAAACTAAGGTTGTCATCCCCAACATTCGAAGGAAATGGGTCCAATTCTTGCAAGCTTCCACCTTCGGTCTCCTTCAAGTGTGATGCTTCCCCATGTGTGCCGTGCACTACTTCTCTAGAAATGACCAATGCTTGGGCAATATCATCATGAGCAAATCCATCTATTGTCTCAACGGCATCTTCGGGAACCTCTTGAGCCACTTCCTTGCCCCGATTAATGGCAACTTTCTTAACAAAGCACTCATTAATCACCGAAAGCCTAGTTGCGGTAGCAAGATTTCTTGTTCCAATCCATTGTAGAGCAAACTCCTCCAACTCTAGAGTATCCGGTCCTATTGTTGTAGCAACCGATTTGTGATCACTTAGTCTTCAATTCCTCCAAACTTTCACACGTTCATACTCCTTCAACAACTCACTACTTGCCCCATAAGTTGGAATGTCATCTACACTCCCAACTTTACTTGGAATTCTCTCTTCTTCATTCGGGTTTGGGGTGTGGGTTACGGGTATGGGTATGGTAACAAATTGATGGCTACAAGCATCATCACTACCCCTTCCATGAGTATTGGATTCCCCGTGACTAGTAGCTCGGTTAGAAGGAGGCTTTTTGGCTAAGGAAGGGGTTGATGCATTTGCTGGTTTTCGTTTTCGGATATTGGCTAGGGAAGGATCAACCGGGATTGGGGTTCGAAAAAGATAATTTTGGTTTTGTATGGGTTTTGATTTGGATAGGGCAACACCTTTCAACTTCAACAACTCCCCAACAACAAAACTGTATCCAATGTCATTAGGAAACCATCCATTCACCAATGGTTTTGCTAGCCTAATTTGATCAACCATTCGGCCATATATAAACCGTCCCCAATCTACGGCAACAACATTCACAATGGCATGCATCAAAGGCAAATTCTTCTTTGTAAAATAATTCCTACTAGAATATTTGCACTCAATTGTTTTATGCACTATATCAAGTAGTATTCCATATTCGTGCTTCAACATAACCTTAAAGCCATTAGTACACGTCTCGACTTGTGCGGTTTTGTGTCTAATTTCACTCCAAATATCATTTAAATCAAAGCCGTGATCTTCCACTTTCAACAATTTTTCCTCCAATCCAAAATGAGTTCTCACATCATCTAACTCAATTTTTAACACAACTCCTCCAACAGTAGAATTTATAACACCATGTTCGACAAATGTGTGTCTATAAAATTCTACTACTTCATTCAAATAGAAACCATCATACTTGAAAGAGCAAAACTTCAATAACCCACTACTTTCAAGAGAGGTTAAGATTTTTACCCCCAAGTCTTGGTTTTGGATGAACTTGTTGTAGTCCTCAAGGTCCATGATCATCCCTCGAATCACCCAAGTGAGTTTCCTCGATCCTTCTGCTCCAATTGGGTTTTGAGCTCCTTCCATCTTGATAGAACAAAAATTAGGGAATTTTGAGATGGGTTTCGGGTAGGGGTTTCGGCAGTCCGAAAAAAAATGGGTAGAAGGAAATGGGTTTTTGGTTGTGAGAGGTTTCAAGGACAATGGTGAGGGTGGGTAATGGGTATTTGGGTGTAGAATGGATTTTTGTGGGAAATTTGGGATGGGTAGGTTTGATTTGAGAGATTTTTAAGCTTTTTATTCTTCTTGCATGCGTGCGCCGGCGTGAGGGAGGGAGGAAGAATGAGATGATCTTCTTTCTTCCTCTTCTTCTTGTTGGAGGCAAATTAAATGCCTTTGCAAAATTACCATCTTGCCCTTTAGTGGATAGATAGAGATTGTAGAACAATTGAGGGCAACTTCGAACTTTCACTGATTTAAATTTGCCAACTCAGATTTTAATACTCCATTTGTGGGTACATAGCGCCAAAAATTAAGCTTTAATTCGCTGCCACCTGTAGATGTTCATGGAGCAAAAATTTCTTCGACGCAAAATTGTTAGTGCAATAAATCTATTCATGCTAACAATTTAATTTCGACATCTGATAAATCTGAAAATTAAAATTGATCGACCAATAAAATTAATTTAAACAGATAAGATCAAAATTGATGCCAGATACATTTCTAAGAAATTACATCAGATTGACTTAAGCAGGTGAAAATTAAAATTAAAGCTGATGACCATTCGGACTGACAAAACAATTTGCATGCACTGTTATCAACTTTTAGCATAGCTTATCAGAACATTCCCCCTAAATCATATAATCCCTCCACTATCATGATGCATTCCCCCTAACTTTTATAACCCTTTAAAAACAATAAAAACAAATAACCAATTTCTACGTACCTAAGTTCGTAAGATAATATTACTAACATGTACACAAATAAATTGTAACACATTAATTAAATTAAATCACGTAGAACACATAGGTAACAAATTTCATGCAATTTCATGCAAATCACGTACACAAATTTTTCGAATTTCAAAGTTTCGAAATACTTAGCTCATTTCGATCATTCCCATTTCGTGCCTTAGAGTTGCAAAACGAGATTCACACAACGGTTTTGTGAGAATGTCGGCAATTTGATTTTCTGTGGGAACATGATCGATCTTCAAATCTTTCTTCTCGACGTGGTCTCGTATGAAGTGATGTCGGACGTCGATGTGTTTGGTTCGCGAGTGGAGCACAGGATTTTGGGTTATTGCAATTGCGCAAGTATTATCACATAAAATACTAACATTTTCGCATTTAATGCCATAGTCCAACAATTGTTGCTTCATCCACAAAATTTGTGCACAACAACTCCCAGCTGCAATATATTCGGCCTCGGCAGTGCTCGTAGCTATGGAGTTTTGTTTCTTGCTGAACCAAGAGACCAATCTTCCCCCTAAGAACTGGCATGTCCCTGAGGTACTTTTTCGGTCTATTTTACACCCTGCAAAATCTGCATCTGAATAACCAGTTAGTGTAAAATCTCCTTCTTTGGGATACTATAATCCCACATTGATTGTTCCTTTGAGATATCGAATTATCTTCTTGGTTGCAATCAAATGACTTTCTTTGGGCTTTGATTGGAATCTTGCACATACGCCAACCGAGTAAGATATGTCTGGTCTGCTTGCGGTTAAGTATAGTAACGATCCAATCATCCCTCGATACATCGTTTGATCGATGTCTTTTCCTTCATCATCTTTATCCAATTTTTGAGATGTACTCATGGGAATTTTGACTGAGGATTTTCCATCTATGCCAAACTTCTTGATAAGATCTCTTGTGTACTTGGCTTGATTTATGAAAATTCCTTCTTCAAGTTGCTTGACTTACAGTCCCAAAAAGTAATTTAATTCTCCCATCATACTCATCTCGAACCTGTTCTGCATGAGCTTAGAAAATTTCTCACATAAAGATTTATCAGTACTTCCAAAGATAATATCATCAACATAAATTTGTACTAATAAAATGTGATTATTTTCTTGAATTCTAAAGAGGTTTTTATCGACTAGACCTTTGGTGAATCCACAACTAATTAAGAACATTGACAAGGTGTCGTACCAAGCTCGCGGAGCTTGTTTTAACCCATACAATGCCTTCTTTAATTTGTAGGCTTGATCACCAACGTCTTTTACCTCAAAACCGGGTGGTTGTTCGACGTAAACTTCTTCTTCAAGTAAGCCATTAAGAAATGCGCTCTTTACGTCCATTTGATATACGATGAAATTCTTGTGCGCTGCGTATGCTAGGAATATTCGGATTGCTTCGAGTCGTGCGACAGGGGCAAATGTCTCATCAAAATCAATGCCTTCTTCTTGTGAATACCCCTTCGCAACCAATCTTGCTTTATTCCTAACAATGATGCCGTTTTCGTTTGCTTTGTTCCTAAAAACCCATTTAGTGTCAATTACATTTTGGTGCGTTGGTCTTGGAACAAGTTTCCATACGTCGTTGCGCTTGAATTGATCTAATTCCTCTTGCATGGCATCTATCCAACTTGGATCGGCTAATGCTTCGTCAATTTCCTTTGGCTCCAGTTGTGATAGAAAGCATGAGAACATTGCATCTTGTTGTTGGTTCCTAGTAGATGATCGCGTCTTTACTCCGTCACTTGGATTTCCAATGACTAAGTCATGTGTGTGACTTCTTAGCCATTTTCGATTTGGTTGGAAACTTGTTGGATTCTCAGAGTTTCCTTCTTGTTGGAATACTTGTTGTGATTCCACTTGTTGTGAATTGTTGACGGTTGCATCTTCATCTACTGGAGTTCCTTCTTCTTGAATTCTGGGTGCAGTTTCGGTTGTAGGTGTGCTTGATATTTCGAGTGTCACATAGGATATTGCCTCAATTTGGTGAATACCCATATCACTTGATTCTTCTACTTCCTGCAACACATTATCTTCCAACATATCGTTAGAAATAATTAAATTACGATTAACTTTACTATCTTTGCCATTTTTGTCGTGATTTTCATCGAACACAACGTGAATCGATTCTTCTACCACCATGGTTGATTTGTTGAATATTCTGTACGCCTTGCTGGTGGATGAATATCCTAAGAATATTCCTTCGTTCGCACGTTCGTCAAAAGTCTTTAAATAGGACTTTCCATTAACAAGTACAAAACATTTACACCCAAATGTATGAAAATACGTGAGGTTGGGTTTCCTCCCTTTTCATAATTCGTATGGTGTTTTGTTATATGACTTGTGGATTAGACTGCGATTTTGAGTATAACACGCCGTATTGATAGCTTCTGCCCAAAATCTCTTTGGTAGTTCTGCAGCTGATATCATGACACGTCCAGCTTCTTTGAGTGTCCTGTTTCTTCTTTCAGCTACTCCATTTTGTTGCGGCGTTCGTGCGACAGATAGTTGGTGTAGAATCCCTTGTGAATTGCAATAGGATTGAATCACGCCATTCACAAATTCGATTCCTCGATCGGTTCGAATTGTTGCAATCTTCATATCTTTTTCGACTTGTAGTTGCTTTAGCAGCTCCGGCAACTTTGATTCAACTTCACTCTTTTTCTATATGAATATTGTCCATGTGTACCTGGAAAAATCATCAACAACAACCAAAGTATATTTCCTACCACTTATACTTACTAGGTCTACTGGACCAAATAAATCCATGTGCAGTAGACTTAAGGGTCTTGATGTTGACTCTTGAGCTTTGGCTTTGAATGATGCTTTGATTTGTTTTCCTTTCTGGCATGCATCGCATATTTGATCCTTTTTGAACGCAATGTTGGGTAGTCCTTCGACTAACTTCTTTTTGGCAAGCTTGTTGATGGTTTTGAAATTCAAATGATTTAGCCTTCTGTGCCATTCCCAACTAGCTTCATTCGAATTATTTGCCATCAAGCATACAGAATCTTTTGTTGTACTCCAATCTACAACATACATGTTTTTCTTTCTTGATCCGGCGAGTACGACTTCTTTCGTGGATTCGTCTTTGACTTGACATTTGCCTTTGTAAAATTCTACGAGATATCCTTTGTCACAAAATTGACTTGTACTAAACAAGTTAAATTTTAATCCTTCGACATAAGATACGTCATCAATTCGTAGACCATTTTTCACAATTGCGCCAGTTCCTTTTGTCATTCCATATCGATCGTTTCCACCGAAAACTACTTTTGGTCCTTCGATACTTTTGAACTCAACTAGACTAGCTTTATTGCCGGTCATATGTCGAGAGCATCCGCTATCGAAATACCAAACTTCCTGCAAAAAAGATTAATTTCTTTTAGGTACCCATACTTGTTTGGGTCCTTTTGTGTTAGTAATTTTTGGCATCCAAATCCACCTAGATCCCATTGATCCAAGAGTAGGTGATTTGTAACCATTAAAAACTTTATAATTATAACGCACTTTCGAATAATGATTCGGTGGGGGTTGAGAAGCTGATAGTTGCTTGATTCTATGAAATAGAGCAAATCTGGACTTGGTCCATGGTTTGATTTCAAGCGACCAATCTTCTTCTGAGGGATATAATCTCCCAGCCCCAATTCTCGGAATTCTTCCCATATTCCTATGAGGTTTTATTGCACTAGACTCGTTGGTTCTCCTTTGAGATACAAATTTTTGCCTTTTAAAATTTTGTTGTCTTGCCAAGATATCACTGTGTTGATTCGGCCTTGCAACAATTTTCTGGGCATTAATTTTGTTTCCAACTCCTTGTCTCATTGTGCTGTGTTGACTTTTTACAAATTTTACCACTGGAACATTATTAATTAAAGTAGTAGTAGAATTAGTCAACTTTTGAGCGGTTTTAGAACATGATGGATTGTAGCCTAGTCCGGCTTTATCTCCAGCGGGTTTTTGCATGTTTACCATTTTATTCA